GTATATCAAGACCAGAAGATGATGATTATTGGCTGTTGATTTCTGAAATGGCATGTGATGGCTGGGATTTTCATGTCTATTCCACAATATGAGGGTCAGCAGATATTAAAAAACATGGTTTACCTTGTGCTTCAACATTGGTAGCCTAGAAGCTTGCAGCCTGATGAGCTAGCATTAACATGAAGGATAGTGCACACTTTTAAATCAGCATGGCATAACTTAGGAACCATTTACATTCACATGAGCCTCTTGTGTGGTTTGATGAGTACGCTCTGATGTGCACTAATTCTTCAATGTAACTGAGAGTGATTCCTTTACAACAAGCCTGCTTATTTGAACTGCCCATGAACTTCAATGTGTTGGGAAGCGTCTCTTAGATCCCACTTAAATTATTGGCAGTGCTCATGGTTCACTTAGTTGTGTAGGTGCTTCGTGGAGTTTTGACCAATAGTGAAGAACTTCTTTTCTGTGACGCATTACCAAACACACACTCCAAGTTGCTAGCCAACCAGCGATCTCCACGCCTTCATTTTCAGAAGGAAAGGTTTATATCAGTGCGAGGCTCTAAACAATCAAATTAGAGCGCACCTCAAAAATTTCACTAGAAGAGGTTGTCTTGATGCCCAAATATTCTCAAATTGATCATCTCGACCTCAAGATGCTTGGGCATGAGAAAAAAGTGGATTTCAAGTTTTGGAAATAGTGCATCTTGTAATGCATTTTTTGACCGTCAATTTTCAAGGTTTTCAAGTTTTCATAGATCTGCTCGATCTACACTAGTTTTGAAGCTTTAAATTTTATAATGAGATATGAAAATATATTTTAATGCTATCACAAAGATTTCCACTATTGAAATCACATTTCTCTACACTATCTGAAGGTGCGCTTTACTTTGATTGTTTAGAGCCTCGGCTCTATACAAACCACACCCTTTTTGGAATCAGCATAGAATCCTGGTAAACCATGCTTATGCCTCACTGAACTAGACAATGATAACAACTTCATTAGGAAGCAATGATCTTTTTTGTACAAGTAGAGGGCTTAATTTTTTTTTTTCCAATAATTAAATAGAGGCATTTCAGTTAGTGCATGACAGCAATCATATAACTATGAAGCACTGAACTTGCCCACCATGATTCCACACCCTTTTTGGAATCAGCATAGAATCCTGGTAAACCATGCTTATGCCTCACTGAACTAGACAATGATAACAACTTCATTAGGAAGCAATGATCTTTTTTGTACAAGTAGAGGGCTTAATTTTTTTTTTTCCAATAATTAAATAGAGGCATTTCAGTTAGTGCATGACAGCAATCATATAACTATGAAGCACTGAACTTGCCCACCATGATTATGCTCAGCATAGACAGTAAGTCTCTGCTAGTTTCTTCTTATAGGGACTCACACAGTCACCCTGCCCTTTCCTGCAGATTGGCTGTAAAGGTTTCCCCAAGTAATTGACAAAGAAGAGTTTATTTGAAATAAGCAAAGTCTCCTAGGTGTTCTCGTTTTCTTGTTTGCGATCCTTTTTCCCCTTCAACAGCATGATCTAATCCTTAACATTTCAAGCTAGCAAGTACAGATATAAGGAGAACACTTTGTTGTATAAGCTGAGAAAAGTCTCATTGTCTATTAATTCATGCATGGTGGATCATTTGAATGCAAGACGCTATAATAGGTCTTCAATTTTAAATCAGATGTTAACAGTTACCTTTGTATTTTTCTGAACATTGTCATCAATTGCATTTTTTCAATAAGTATTAAATTCTCTTATAACATAAAAAATAGTTTTGCTGATATGAAAGAGAAGGAAGAAAAATAAGAAAAAAGGTAATATATTTGTCTCTGTTGATTCTTGAATATAGTTTCTTACAGACTGTAGCCAAAATGATTTTACATGAATCAGTGGGCACCTGCTTGGCGATGCTTGATTTTAATATCTAGCTGAATTGACTTCTCTCTGATTGTTAACTATGAAAAGGAATGGCTTCTCTCTGTCTGACATGATGCTCCTGCTCGATATGTTGGTTTTTCTAGGTGTTCTTTCTCCCAGAGCCACCATGAATACGTTCTCCAGTTTTAGTGTTAAAGCTAGGTATTTTCTAAGTGAGAAGATGTACTATTCCTGTTAGTCTGGCCAATAAATGACTTTCCTCATACATAGGGAACTTTGGGTAACCAATATAAACTTGAAAAACCGTTGTTTTTTTTGCTAGAGTACGTCTTTTACTGTTTGATCATGACTTCTTGAGTCCTTATTTGAGCCCATCTTGAAGTTTCTCATGCTTTCCTTGTAAATGGATGGGAGGGTGGAAAAAAGCGCCTTCATGGTTTGACAGAGATCAGTCCCCATTATGGGCTAGGTAGGCCTACCTCCTCTGTAAATGATGACCATGATTTAGAGCTCTTGACTTTTGAGTCCTTGGTTGATGTTCCTCGTGCAGGAAGACTTAGTGGGAGATGCATGGTGTCCTGCCCTAGCCTGCCAGTGTGGTATTGCGAGCTTCTTTGTGGTGGCAACCATTCCTTCAAGCTCACCATCACTGCTCCCTTGCTGGTGCATGGGTCGGTACCTTGCTCAATGCTTTCTTTTGGATCAACTACTTTGCAATCTTTCTTTCAGGGTTTTCCGGACTTTGAAGTGTTAGTTATGGCCTGTAATGCCTTATAACAGTGTTACCATGGTGGGTTACATCAAGCGGTACCTGGCCCAAGGTGGGTTACATCAAGCGGTACCTCGCTGACTTGGAGTCTGTGAATTCCTTTCTTCCCATCCTGGTTTTTGGCAAACTATGGGAGCAATGGTGGTTCTGTAAATCATGGTGTCCATTTTGTTGTACATGTTGATTATGACACTTGCACTAAATCCCATAGTTGTAGGCAGTGTCAAACTTCACTTAGCTTAGTAGCTTTTCCTTGGAATTTCCATGTTGAAAGACCTTCTCAATGCCTTCCTTTAGTTGATTGCTGCATTGTCTGAGCCTCACTATCCTAATACCGTGATATAGGCGGCTGATATCAATACAATTTGATTAAATGACTGGGTGCAGCCTTGCCATCTTCGAATGTGGAAACTTACAGAGAGGACGTGGATGTAAAAATATATGTCAACAATCTTTAGTTATGAGTTTTTGGATGTTAGTCCCTACTCTAAGCAAGTTATCCTTCAGGAGGATCTGCTTTTTTACTGCCCCCTTTGTTGGTAGACTTTAAGTTATCGTAAGGCCACCATGCCTTTCTCACAAAGAAGCATGGGTGCTGCCATTACAACAGCAACATGGAAATGCTGTCACCCTTCAGTGGGCTAGGAGACCACTATGGAAAGCTTGGGGCTGAAGTGAAGTATTTATGGTCCCATTCCATGCAACTGAATATGGGTCAGTCCAAATGAGAATTTCACTTCATTTTATTGGTCCTTTATTGTTGAGCTATTGAAATTGTATTGTGCATAAGGCGTGGAACCATGTTGATGATAACAATATTTCATGCATTACAGAATGTGTACTATTTTGAAAATTTGGTGATCTTACCACGTTGATGACAACAATCTTTCAAGCGTTCTGTTAATGTACTATTTCCAAGACCACTGCCTCAGTTATTTTCTTGTTTTTTGGTGTTGTTTATTATTCAGGGTTGTCCTCTACTTTTGGAACAGTCATCATCATCACCATTTAAAAAAAAGAAGCCATCATCCATCTACATCAAAAAAAAAAAAATCATCCATGCGGCTCACCCCTTTGGTGGAACTACTCTCCTTCAATGTTGTTATTGTATGTTTATAGCAGTGTTTTAAAATTTGGGAGGGCTTGGGGGACCACAACAAATAAGCATATAAGGTTTCTTCTCTTTTTTTTACCCTTTTGGTCTTTTGTTGCCCGGGGAGGGGGGGAGGGGTGGCGGGGGTGGGGAAGAAGGGTGCGTAGTGGTTTGTGGGGTAGTCTTCCCCCTCAAAGCCCTTGTGCTTTTCATATTTTGAAGAGAGAAAACAAGTCAAACACCCTGATTTGGTGGAATTTTAGGAGAAGAGTAAAATTATTGGTACTGTCAATTTCATAGTAAATCGAAAAGTGTGAAAGCTGATTGTTTTTTAGACTTCAAGTAGTGCCAAAAGAGGCTCTTTAGCAACCAAAGCTCAGCAATTTGAGCCAACTTTGATTAGGGTTTCGAAAGGTCAGTTTTTGGGTTTCGGGTTTGTTAACAATTTGGAATTTGAATTTTGGGTTTTCATACGTTTGTTTTTCAAATTTTTTTTTTGTTTTTGTGGATAAATTGTGTAAGCACTTAATGATCCGTACAAATTTGTGTGTATGTTGGGCATGATTCAATCTTCTAATGTTTTACTAATTTAATTTCAAGTTTCAAACTCTTGTATGTATGAATTTGAAATAACACATCCAACAACTAAAATATATAT